CTGCTGTTTACAAGAAACACACCTCAATCACAAAGACAGACACCTGCTCAGAGTAAAGGATTGGGAAAAGGTTTTCCAAGCAAATGGACCTAAGAAACAAGCAGGTGTGGCCATTCTAATATCTAACAAAATCGACTTCAAACTAAAATCAATCAGAAGAGATGGAGATGGACATTTCATACTCATAACAGGAACAATTCATCAGGAAGAAGTCTCAATCCTGAATATCTATACCCCTAATAGAAAGGTACCCACATATGTAAAAGAAACTCTTCTAGAACTCAAGGCAGTCATCAAACCACACACAATAATAGTAGGAGACTTCAACACTCCTCTCTCACCAATGGACAGGTCAATCAGACAGAAACCTAACAGAGAAATAAGAGAATTATTGGAGGTATTGAATCAAATGGACTTAACAGACATCTATAGAACACTCCACCCAAATAGGAAAGAATATACCTTCTTCTCTGCAGCTCATGGAACCTTCTCGAAAATTGACCACATACTTGGTAACAAAGCAAACTTCCACAGACACAAAAAAATATTAGTAACCACCTGTGTCTTGTCAGATCACCACGGATTAAAGTTAGAATTCAACAACAATGCTACCCCCAGGAAGCCAACAAACTCATAGAAGTTGAACAGTCAACTACTAAATCACCCCTGGGTCAAGGAAGAAATAAAGAAAGAAATTAAAGTCTTTCTTGAATTTAATGAAAATAAAGACACAACATACTCAAACCTATGGGACACTATGAAACAGTGCTAAGAGGAAAGTTCATAATACTAAGTGCCTAATTAAAGAAAACAGAAAAAGCACACATTGGAGACTTAACAGTACACTTGAAAGCTCTAGAAAAAAAAGAAGCTGACTCACCCAGGAGGAGTAGAAGACTGGAAATAATCAAACTGAGGGCTGAAATCAACAAAATAGAAACACAGAAAACAATCCAAAGAATCAATGAAACAAAAAGCTGGTTCTTGGAGAAAATCAACAAGATCGACAAACCCCTATCCAAATGGCAGAGAGAGAACATGCAAATTAATAAGATCAGAAATGAAAAGGGGGACATAACCACAGACATAGAGGAAATTCAGAGAATCATTAGATCTTACTACGAAAGTTTATATGCCACAAAGTTGGAAAATGTAAAAGAAATGGACATTTTTTTAGATAAGTACCATATACCAAAGTTGAACCAAGAACAGGTGAACAATCTAAATAGACCTGTTAGTCTCAAAGAATTAGAAGCTGTTATTAAAAATCTCCCTACCAAAGAAGCCCAGGACCAGATGGTTCCAATGCAAAATTCTACCAGAACTTCCAGAAAGAGCTAATACCTATACTCCTTAATGTATTCCACAATATAGAAACAGAAGAGTCATTGCCAAACTCCTTTTATGAAGCTACAGTTACTCTGATACCAAAACCACACAAAGACACAACCAAGAAAGAAAATTATAGGCCAATCTCACTCATGAACATCGACGTGAAAATTCTCAATAAAATACTGGCAAACCGAATCCAAGAACACATTAGAAAAATTATCCATTATGATCAAGTAGGCTTCATCCCAGAGATGCAGGGCTGGTTCAACATACGCAAATCTATCAATGTAATCCATCATATAAATAAACTGAAAGAAAAAAACCATATGATCATTTCATTGGATGCTGAAAAAGCATTTGACAAAATTCAACACCCATTTATGATAAAGGTGTTGGAGAGACTGGGGATACAAGGATCATGCCTAAATAAAATAAAAGCAATATACAGCAAGCTGACAGCTAACATCAAATTGAATGGAGAGAAACTCAAAGCCTTTCCACTAAAATCAGGAACACTACAAGGCTGTCCACTCTCTCCATACCTCTTCAATATAGTGCTTGAAGTTCTAGCAATAGCAATAAGACAACATAAGGGGATCAAGGGGATTCGAATTGGAAAGGATGAAGTTAAACTTTCGTTATTTGCAGACGATATGATAGTGTACATAAGTGACCCCAAAAACTCTACCAAAGAACTTCTACAGCTGATAAACACCTTTAGTAATGTGGCAGGATACAAGATCAACTCCAAAAAATCGGTAGCCCTCCTATACACAAAGGATAAAGAAGCAGAGAGGGAAATCAGAGAAACATCACCTTTCACGATAGCCACAAATAGCATAAAATATCTAGGGGCTACTCTAACCAAGGAAGTGAAAGACCTATTTGACAAGAACTTAAGTCTTTGAAGAAAGAAACTGAGGAGGATACCAGAAAATGGAAAGACCTCCCCTGCTCTTGGATTGGGAGAATCAACATAGTAAAAATGGCAATTCTACCAAAAGCAATCCATAGATTCAATGCAATCCCCATCAAAATGCCATCAAACTTCTTCACAGACCTTGAGAGAACAATAATCAAGTTTATATGGCAAAACAAAAAACCCAGGATAGCCAAAACAATCTTATACAATAAAGGAACATCTGGAGGCATTACCATCCCTGACTTCAAACTGTATTACACTGCTACAGTATTGAAAACAGCTTGGTATTGGTATAAGAACAGAGAAGTCGACCTATGGAATCGAATAGAAGACCCGGATATTAACCCACAAACCTACGAACACCTAATTTTCGACAAGGGAGTTAAAGGTATACAATGGAAGAAGGAAAGCATCTTTAACAAATGGTGCTGGCATAACTGGATGTCAACCTGTAGAAGAATGAAAGTAGATCCATATCTATCACCATGCACAAAAATCAAGTCCAAATGGATTAAAGACATCAACATTAATCTGTCCACTTTGAACCTGATAGAAGAGTAAGTGGGAAGTAGTCTACAAGATATAGGCAGAGGAGACCACTTCCTAAGTAGAACCCCAGTAGCACAGACAATAAGAGAATTAATGAATAAATGGGACCGACTGAAACTGAGAAGCTTCTGCAAAGCAAAGGACACTGTCAGTAAGACAAAAAGGCTACCTTCTGACTGGGAGAAGATCTTCACCAACCTCTCATCAGACAAAGGTCTGATCTCCAAAATATACAAAGAACTCAAGAAACTAGACACTAAAACTCTAATTAACCCAATTAAAAAATGGGGTACTGAACTGAACAGAGAATTCACTACAGATGAACTTCGAATGGCCAAAAGACACTTAAGGTCATCCTCAACCTCTTTAGCGAACAGGGAAATGCAAATCAAAACTACTTTGAGATACCATCTTACACCTGTCAGAAGAGCTAAACTCAAAAACACCAATGATAGCCTATGCTGGAGAGGATGTGGAGTGAGGGGAACACTCATCCATTGTTGGTGGGAATGCAAACCTTTGCAGCCACTGTGGAAATCAGTGTGGCGGTTTCTCAGGAAACTGGGAGTCAACCTCGCTCAGGACCCAGCAGTTCCACTCTTGGGAATATACCCAAGAGATGCCCTATCTCTTGTATATTTTATACAAATATAAAAGTATTTGTTCAACTATGTTCATAACTGCACTATTTGTAATAGCCAGAACATGGAAACAACCTAGGTGCCCCTCAATAGAAGAATGGTTAAAAAAGGTGTGGAACATATACACATTAGAGTTTTACTCAGCGGTAAAAAACAATGACATCTTGAATTTTGCATGCAAATGGATGGAAATAGAAAACGCTTTACTGAGTGAGGTAACCCAGACCCAAAAGGAGGAATATGGTATGTACTCACTAATAAGTGGATTCTAGCCATATTTAAAGGTCTTTGAGTCTATAATTCGTGATCCTAGAGAAGCTAAATAAGAAGGTGAACCTGAAGAAAATCATATAGTTATCCTCCTGGATATTAGAAGTAGACAAGATTGCCAGGCAAACTTGGGTGCATGGGGGGTGGGAGGGTGGAAGTACGGGAAGATGGTTAGGGAGAGGGGGAGGATTGGGGATGGCTTGGGGGAATGGGAGGGTGGGAGGGAGGAAGGATGGTTATGGGAGCAGGGAAGTTTATATCTCAACTAAGGGAATCATTTTAGGGTTTGCAAGAGACTTGATTCTGGAGGGGTTCCCAGGCCCAAGGAGAGATCCCCAGATTGTTTCCTGGGCTGCAGAGGAAAGGGTACCTGAACTGACCTTGGCCCATTAACCATACTGATGAATATTTTGCATGTCACCACAGAACCTTCATATGGCGAAGGATGGAGATAGAGACAGAGACACATATTGGAACACTGGACTTAACTCCTTAGGTCCAAATGAGAAGCAGAGGGAGGGAGATCGTGAGCAAGGAAAGCAGAACCAGAGGGAACCTTCATCCAACGATAGGTGAAGATAGAGACGGAGACCCACATTGGAGCACTGGACTGAACCCCCAAGGTCCAAATGAAGAGCAGAAGGAGGGAGAACAAGAAAAAGGAAGTCAGGACCGCGAAGGGTGCGTTCACCCACTGATACAAGGGGACTGATCAAATGAGAGCTCACCAAGGCCAGCTGGACAGGGACTGAACGAGCATGTGATCAAACCGGATTCTCTGAATGTGGCTGACATGGAGGCTGACTGAGAAGCCATTGACAATGGCACTGGGGCTTGTTTCGTCTGCATGGACTGGCTTTTTGGGATCCTGGTCTGTTTGGATGCTCACCTTCCTGGACCTGGAGGGAGGGGCAAGGAACTTGGATTTCCCACAGGGCAGGAAACCCTGACTGCTCTTGGGAATGGTGAGGGAGGAGGAGAGGGAGTGGGGGGGGGAGCGGGAGGGTATTAGGAGGAGGGGAGGAAGTGGAAATTCTTTAAATAAATAAATAAATAAATAAGAAAAAAAAGTTAAAAATACGAGCCCTCTGTGAGGAACAGAATGAAATGGGCCGAGAACTGAAGGGCAGACTGACTCCCCAACCCTGCTCTGCTATATTCTCTTCAAGTTCCAACACACGACGGTTTCCTCATGTGCTTCATTTTATAGCAAAGACAGGCAATCTCATGTTATGCGCACACTTTTGAATGGCAGCCCAAACCCAGTAAATATTTTGTTTTTTTACCATTTTTTCCTTAATGAGCTGATCATATTTCTTCTGGGACTGAGCCAGCTTATGTTTCGGAAAAGACATACAATCAGCAGTCATGTCCTCTTTCTGGACCGCAGTGTCTTCTTCAGTCTCTCTATACTGACAAGCAGCAAACAAATCATCTGTACACTGTGCGGGGTTCCTGGTTTGCTGTGACCTATGGGCATAAGGTGGGAACAAATCAGGATTCTCAAAAAGATACCACAGAAGGCTAAAATATCTTCAGCTGGAGGATATGAGCTTGTTTTCTTCTTAGTTACGGTTTCTATTGCTGTGAATAGACACCATAACCACGGAAGCTCGTATGAAAGAAAGTGTTTAGTTGGGGTTGGCTTAGAATTTCGGAGGTTTAGTCTAATATTGTTATGGTGGCATGCAAGCAACTATGGTCTTGGAGAAGGAGCTGAGAGTTCTACAGTTTGATCCAGAGGCAGCAGAATAGATCCCTACACTAGGCCTGGCTTGATCATATAAGACTTCAAAGTCCACCTCTGCAGTAACACATTTCTTCCAACAAGGCCATACCTACTCCAACAAGGCCACAACCTTCTAATAGTGTCATTTCCAATAGGCCAAGCACTCAAATGCATGAGTCTTGGGGGAGCCATTCCTATTCAAACCACCACACTTTCTAAGTTTAATTTTAAATAAAGATATACAGTGAACTCACACTACTCTCAGAATCCAGCATCTATGAAGCAATGCCGTAGCTCAAAGTGAACATCTGGCAAGCTTGCCACCTTGCATTAGAGTTTGTCACCTTGCATTAGAGTCACAATTATTCTGTTTGTAAACCGTGTAACCCTGAGTAAGTGCTCTTTAAATGATTTCTCTATGAATGTGGGTTGATGTGAATGCCTGCCTAACGCAGTTAGAAGGACTAAAGGGGGTGATACTCCTGAATCACTGTGTACAGTGAGCAACATTTTGCAAGCACTTCCTTAATGTCTGCTATTATTACCGCTATTGGTCCCATGGCTTGGTTTCTTCCTACAAAACGAGAGTATTGAGTTGGAAGACCTTGAAAGTCCTAAAATTTAGATCCAAACCAGGAAAAGAAATGGATACAATAAAATAGGGGACATGAAATTACATTCTGAGGATAGGCTAACTTCACAGTTCATTTTTCATAAGTCTCAAAAACTTCAATGTATAATTTGTAATTAACCAAAGAGAATGCTATAGTGGCAGCTGTACAGAAGTCGCAGGAGTCAGGGGAAGCTGCAATAGTCAGAAGAAAAGGCAGCCAACCACATGCTGGGTCAAGTGCAGAGTAAGAAGCGAGTGCCTATTTTGTTGTCTTAGAGACCATTGCGATAAGAAGAAGCAAGCTGAGAATTCTCCCCACAAACACCATAGACACATTAGTAGACAATATTGACAAATCTCTAACTTCAAGCCTCAGAGCAGTTTTGAAGGAGGTAACTGGAAATGTATTCATAGAGAAAAGAGACAAATGTATCCTCACGTCACCAGAAAAAACAAGTCAAAATGATCTGGAATAAACAGAATTCTGATATCTTAAGAGCAATGACAGTTAATTAGAAATGTCTCCCATGAGAATCATCTTCATATTTACAAAGGTTTTTAGGGTTCCAACCAATGCAAACTTTTTAAAATAAAGTTTACCTTTCTTAAACAGTTGTAGTAGTTTGTGCCTATAATGCCAGGAGGCTCAAGCAGAAGAATTATGAGTTCAAGGCCAATATGAGCTGCAAAAATGATGTAAAAGAACAAGAAACACTCTCCTTTCACACTGACTGCTTGGGCAATGTACACTTGTTGCTCTTTTAAACAGGGAAAGGAGAAAAGCAGGACAGGAAAATAAATGTCAAGTGTTATCTTTCAGACCAAGTTTGAAAAATTATATAAAACCCACTCAGAGTACTCTCCCAAATAACAAACCCAAAGGCAAGCCGGCATGCCAGGTGACTTGCATAGAGGAGTATTTCTTCAGGCCCGGGAAGAAAGCCCTTCCTACAGATGAGCGTGCTTTGAGTAAACCAAGGGAAAGGCTGGTGATCTGGTATGGCTGGAAAGCAAGAGACAACCTGGGTTCTTATCTATCTGCTCAATGCTATACTTTTTCTCAGGTCACAGCATGGACGTCTGCTAGGAAATCTCTCTCAGAAGTGATCCAGACACGCCAACTCATCTTGGATGTGTGTAATATGTGTTTTAAGAGGACTCTACAGTGGTAGGTTTCTCTATGACCTTTCCGAAAGCTCCTTGTGCAAAGCTCCTTGTGCTAGTAATCCTTGTCTATTTCCCCCTTCTACCTTGCCCTAAAGGTCTTTATGTGAGCTGTCCTTTCCCATGTTTCCTCCTTGACCTTGCCCTACCATTGCCATCTCCATCTTCAGTTTAACCCTTCCTGTTCCCTTGCTTTTCTTACTACCACTGTGCTCCCCCTTTCTTTCCTTCAAAGCCCCACTTCATGGCCCCTTACTGACTTCCTGACCTCTTTGGGTATTCCAAATGAGGCACACGTAAGTGAACATTCAAAACTAACATCCACAGACAAGAGAAAACATATGACATTTGTCTTTCTGGGTCTAGGTTACCTTACTCAGAACGACTGTTTCTGGTTCCATCCACTTACCTACGAATTTCATAATTTATGAACTGAATAACATTCCATTGTTATTCATTATCCATGAATGACCATTATCCATTCATCAGCCAATGGACATCAAAGTTGTTTCCATTCCCTGGCTATTGTGAATAGAGAGTCGCGATGAACATGTATGAGCAATTTGGTACTACAACTCTGTAGTACACTATATGATGAGATACAGGATATACAGTGTTGTGGGTTATATGCCCAAGAGAAGTGTAGCTAGATCATGTAGGAAAGTGAATTGAAATGGAGTTACTCCATAATAGGGTGACAATGCTCTTACTAGACACAGCAGGCTAACAAAAAAATCCAGGGTCATGAATGGGCTACTTCTTTTGGAGTTGTTGGCCAGTGAAGTTCTGTAGACTCCTAAACTATAGACTATTGAGAATGGCCCCCATCGACTCATATATTTGAAGACTGGTCCCCAGTTGGTAGAACTATTTGGGAAAGATTAAGAAGTATAGCCTTGTTGGAGAAACTGTGTCACTAGGGGTAGGCTTTGAGGTTTTAAAATTCCATGTCATTCCCAGTTAGCTCTCTCTACCTCAAGGTTGTGTCTCAAGATGCACACTCAGTTATGACTCCAACACCATGAACACCTGCTTGCAGCCATGCTCCCTGCAATGGTGGTCATAGACTCTGAAACTGTAAGCTCCCAATAAAACTCTTTTTTTCCTGAGTTGTCTTGGTCATGGCTCACGGCATCTGATCACAGCAATGGAAAAGTAACCCTCCTCCCAAAGCTTAGGCACCATTTCAGAAGCGAGAGTGGAAGGATGGTAAGAGCTCGAGGTAGTGGGTGACTGCAGGGAAACAGTGTCTTCTGGACACCACAGAGTGGTTGCAGTTAGGATCTCACAGCCATTGTGATCGCATGTATGAGACCTGTACACAATCTAGCCAGACAGAATCCCAGCATACGGAGAGGAGGTGAGCCTGAAGTCTCAACCTTAGGGAGTTGCTGTTGGCAACTGATGGCTTCTGGGAGAGGAAGTCAGTTCTCTTTGGGGAATCACGCTAGTGGGGGCTCTACACTCAAGAGTGTGTGGTTAGCACAAATTGGATTCGATGGTGACAGAAGAAGACCAAGTTGGGTGGGCGGGGAAGGGGGTTGAACAGTATTAAAATACTTTGTATGAAATTCCCAGGTAGGAGGAAAGTTGGAGGGGATGAGAAGAAGGGAGGGAGTGGGAACTGGAATTGGCAAGTAAAAATGAAAAAAGTAGTTTGTTTTCTTTTTTTAAAAAAAAGTAAAATTAAATTTCCCCAGTAGGGAAGGGGATTGGACAGCATTACAATACATTGTATGAAATTCCCTAAGAACTAAAAAGATACACTCCAAAGGGGATTCGAAAATTTCTCCAAATTCTACTAGGATGCAATTCATATTATAGTCTGATAGAATCTCCCTTCTCTAGGTGCCTCTGTCCACTGCTTCCTCCCACTACCTGAGAGTCTTACTGGCCTGTTAGAAATAAATCCCATTGAAGCAGGGTCTGAATCACATTTGTTACTCAAACCCTATCTAGCTCTCAGTGAATTTAAGCCATTTGCTAGTGAACAAGAAAGGGTATGAGAAAGAGCATGAGTCTTTAGCATGTTTAAAAGTACCAAGGAGTGGGGAAACCTGTAAAAAGAGATTATCAACTCAGAACGGCTACAGGACATTGCCACTCAATAGAAAACTTTGGCTCGAGCTTCTTATTTCGTGGGTGTGGTGCAGACGTCAAGTCTATGAAGTCATGAGAGAGAATACTAATTATAGATATTAAAAATCATAAACTCTAATGTTTTAATGAAGCCTTGAAAGGGATTATGCTGAGATCAAAGCAGCAGTCTTCAATAGCACCCTTAAAGAATGACAAACTTTGAGGTCTTTCCCGCTGAGTTGAGAACAAAATTCCCTGAGCTAGCTTTGAACATTCAGTTAAAAGAAGGTAGGGAAGGTGGCTGTATGTGGTGGTTTGAATAGGAATTGCCCCCCTCCCTTGACTCATGTGTTTGAATGCTTGGTCCAAAGGCAGTGGCACTGTTAGGAGATGCGGCCTTGTTGGAGGAAGTGTGTGGCTGTGGGGGTGGGCTTTGAGATCTCTTTCTCTTGACCGAGAATCCAGATGTAGAACTCTCAGCCTCTTAATATTAACCAGAGTCTTACTATTAATTATAAATGCTCCAGCACTATGTCTGCCTGCGTGTTACCTTGCTTCCTGACATAATAGACTAAACCCCTGAACTGTAAGCCAGCCCCAATGAAGTGTTTTCCTTTTTAAAAGTTGTGTGGTCATGGTGTCTATTCACAGCAATAAAATTCTAACTAAAACACCACATAATAATGACAGGTGAGATATCTCGGGCAAGTCAGAATAAAAGGAATCAGCAAGGTGAGTGAAACCTTCTTAGACCGACTCATTCCATCTGTTGAAATAATAAATATAAAGCTTGATGGGTAATATATTTGAACAATGGCTATTTCCAATATGCTATATTGTGAACTCTACATTTAAAAAAGATTTACTTATTTTTATTTCATTGGTGTTTTGTATAGGCAGAGATTTCCTGGGTCAGCAACTACTCTCAAATAACCAGAGTCTTAATATTAATTATAAATGCTCAGTCATTAGCTCAGGCTTATTATTAATTAGTGTTTACAATTTAAATTAACCCTTTTCTACTAATCAATATGCTGCCCCAAGGCTCCTGGCAGATCTCTCTGGTGTGTATTGCTTCCTCCCATTATGCCTGGCAACAACTCTGACTCTGACCTTCTTCTCAGGGTTCTCTGTCTGGCTCGGCCCCTAACTTTATCCTGTCCAGCTATTGGCCAGTCAGCTTCTTTATTAAACCAATCACAGTGAAGTATATTCACACAGTGTAAAGGGATATTCCACAGTTTTTCCTGTATCATGTCTGTACACCTTGTGTATGCAGTGCCTATGGAGGCCAAACGAGAGTTTGGATCTCCTAGAACCAGAAACAGGAAGACAGCTATTAACTACCATGTGGGTGCTAGAAATTGAACTCCAGACCTCTGGATGCATAGAGTGTGTTCTTAACTGCTAAATCATCAGTCTCAGAGATGAATACAGAATAAAAAATATAGAATTCTATATTTTTAAAGTCCATTTTTATAGTTCCATAACATTTAACCTTATGATATTTTATGATATATGGTAGTTATTATGAACATGAAATACTGGCTAGTTAAAATTAAAATACTCTCAAAAATGTGAAAATAGGCTAAATTTTGATGACTCACTGTAAAAAATAGTATAAAATATTAAACAGTATAAATTATTTAGCAATTATACATAATATTTTAAGTATACTGAGATAAGACAGCATTAAAATTAAACATACTTACTTTTGTTTACTTTTTATTACTGCTCTCAGAAAACTGTAAATGCTGTAAGTGTTTGACAGCCATTGTGTCTCTATGGCCTGGAATAAAGCAGTGGTTCTCATCTAAGGCTGACTCTGCTCCCTGGGGCCATTTGGCAATGCACAGATGGGACAGTGCTACTTGCATATAGTGGCTAAAAGCAAGGTATACTTCTAAATCTTCCTAACAAAGAGTTATCCAGCTCAAAAAGTCAGTAGTGCCATGAGTAAGGAATCACCACATAGAGACAAGCTAATTGTCGAAAGTGGACGACCTGGATTAAATACCACTAATTAGCTGTGCAACTTTGGGCAAACTGCCTAGCCTTTCTCTTTGATTTATAATTACCATTTATACAATGCTGTAATGATGGTCCAGACAGCTCATCCTTACAGAGTCGTGAAAGGACAGGCACACAGAATCTGCTCAATAAGAATTGATTATTAGAATGTAAAAGTTTTATTAGGCCTGGAGAGACGTCTCAGTTGTTAGGAGCACTTACTACTCTTCCCAAACACAGCTCAGTTCCCAACACTCAGGTCAGGTTGTTTACAGCTAACTCCCTGCAGCACTGGGGGACCCAACACCCTCTTCTGGCTTCCACACATGTCTGGCCCATAAAAGCCCTTCCCCATTTGAAATTTAAGATCGTATAAATAAATCTAAAAATGCTTTTGTGTATCCACTGTCTCTTTATTTCGTGAAATCTTACTCTAATTTTGTCATGCTTTTCTCACCGGATTTACTGGAGTTGTTTAATGCTGCTTTATTTTTATAAACGTGAACATCTTCATAAGTTAGGGAAATACAATTGCCGTCCATCTTTCAGAAGTTGTAGACACCAATGGATGTTATTCCATAATCCTATTAACATAGACAGCCCAGCTGGGGGCCTTTCTCCTTTATGGAAAGTGCATGTATAGCTTTTCACCCAGACTTCTCTGAAAGTGGCGAGTGAGAATCCTGGCAAGGCCTGTGGTACTTACAGGTGGAAGCAGAAGTCCCAGTCGGTGTCATTGCTAACGGATGGAATGCGGATGGGGTTGGCTTGCATTTTCCTACCAAGAATCACAAGTGTGGTCAGTTTTGGGGGAAAGGGCTTAGACATTTGTTCTGTTTTCCTTCTGCTGGATATTACTAACTTTATAAATGAAAACTGCTAAATACAAATCTACAAGTAGACTATGCAGACCCATGTTGAGAAACTCCTAAGATGATGACATTGGAGGTGTTTTTCAGAGCTGAATTTCTTTTTTTCTGTTGTCTACTCTATATTACGTCTCCAAAGTTCCTTTGAAGTATTTCCTAAAGGGCGCATCTTTTACATTTACTGGGTCATCTGAACAATGGTGACCTGTTCAACTCAAATACTCTTTGGCAGCGCTGAGGGAAAGCAGAACCACAAAGCAATCAGTTTTCCGTATAACCTGAAGTGTTTTAGTTAATCTTCTCTTTTCCAGGAACCACGCCACTATTTAATAGAAAGTTCTAGTTAAAAGGCTAAAACTCTTGTGCCTGCTTAGGCTGCTGTTAGCTGTTGACAAAAGTGAACTGCACGGGATGGGAGAAGAGTTAATAATGACTTGTAAAATGCATTTCTAAAGACTATCCTTAACCCTTGAATGCACACACACTCCACTGAACGTTGACAACCTCCTAGGCGCTCCCTGAAGATTACTGTGGCAGCTTTCCTTCACCCAGGCTCCAAACACCAGTTATACAAACACGGGATGGGCAGAAGGATTAACCTGCCTTCCTAGGCAGTCCTTCACACGGTTTCCATATAGTTAGTTACACAGGACCCTGGATTAGGACCCGGCCCTGAGGCCCCCCTCTAGAACAAATCTCTTGCTGTTTCTCCTCAGTTTTTCTACTGTTGCTTCCTAAACATGGACTCTCCTGAGTACTAACTAAAGCCCCATCTTCCCCACCGGTTCAGGTGTTCTGCACTAAAAGGTGAGCCACCTTTGGTTCCCTGACCCATAAACGCCTTCCCGGATCCCTCACCCGGCTGGGCTGGGCAGTTAGGACCTCTGCTGCCTCGGGTCAGCCTCCTGGCCAGGGCCCTGTCCTGAAACACCGAAGCTAGGCTTCTGAACTTGGAGACAATGCGTTGCCATGGGGACGGACGCCGGCTTAGCAAGGACTCCAGCGAGCCATGGCAACACAGGACGCTTCTGGCTCCACAAGAGGGCACAAGGCGGGCTCTCCAGGGCCACTCTGGAGTGATTGATGCCTTGCTCCTGTGAATGGTCCTGTGGTGCCAGTCTCACAAGGACATTACTTCTCAAATATGAAGGATGAGAGGATAAATCCCGTGAAAGAAAGAAAAGAAAGCGTTCCCAGGAGCCTGATAGTTTTTAAAACTCCTTCTGTGGGTGTTTTTGGCAATGATCCTTGGCTAGGCAGTCCAGCCCGTTCCAGAAGTACTCTGCACTTCAGCCGTCCTGGTGTTCTGGGTCTGATGATGATGACCCTTGTGAACAGTATGTTATCAATAGTATTTAATATATGCAGTCAAGTATAAGGACTGTTATCCGTTCCCTGTCATTTCTGTAACAAACTTATTGGCTTAAAAAAAAATACACCTACAATTTTGGAGACCAAAATTTGTGTTACTGGGCAGGAATGCACAGAAGACAGCCATTTTAGCTATTTTTTTTTCTCTTCTGCTTTCAAAGCTATTGAGGCAGTGCATTCAAAGTTCCCTTGAATTCTTGTTCTTTCCTCCACTTTAAAGGATGCCTGATGAGCTGGCATGATGTAGCTCAGAGGGTAAAGGTGCCAGCTGCCAAACCTGACGGCCTGAGTTATTCCTAAGGACCCACATGATCAAAGGAGAGAACAGAATCCAGAGAACACAAATTGTTCACTGGCTTCCACACGCTGCACCGTGGCACACAGGCTCACACATATATGTATGTGCACATACTCAAACACAAATAGATAAATTCTATCAAAATACTTCTAGGAGTTCTGGAGTTAGAGTAGGCCCATCCTAATGATCGTCCAGGACAATCTTAAGGTTAACTAATAAGCCATTTAAATGATCCCCTTCCCTGTATAGAAAAACTTCTTCATAAAGGTTCTGTCTTAGGTAGGGTTTCTATTGCTGTGAACAGACACCACGACGACAGCAACTCTTTTAAAGGAACTCATTTGTTGGACCTGGATTACAATCAGAGGTTTAGTCCATTATCATCATGACAGGAAGCAGGGCAGCATGTATAGAGGTAACTGAGAGTCCTACCTCCTGATCCACAGGCAACAGGAAGTGAACTGTGTGCCACATGGGGCATAGTTTGAGCATAGGTGTCCTCAAAGTTCACATTTACTTTAGTGACACATTGACTCCAATAAGGCCACACCTACTCCAAAAAAGCCACACCTCCTAATAGTGCCACTCCCTATGGGAGCCATTTTCTTTCAAACCACCACAGGTTCCAAAGTTTGTTTGTTTAAATAGACCTCTTGGAGGAGAAAAGATACTCTTCCTACCAGAGTGTTTGACATGACTTAAATGCACAGCTTCCAAAACTTCTAGAGGTAACACACAGGGAACCCTTACTACCTGTAAAAAGGCTATGGCCTTTCCTTTTCTCTTCCCCACACATCCTGTACAATCTGGTAGATAGTATACTCTTAACTGTGTTTTCTTCCTCTTTTAGGGCCTGGCTTGTAATAAAAGTGAAGGATTCTCTTCATTCTTATTCACTCCATCTCTTGGGACATAAGTCCTTCTGGAAGCCTCTCCATAGGCCGGAACTCATTCCTTATTTGTTTTCAAAGACTATTTGTGGTGGCCTTCACGAGAGCTCATTTTGTTCTTTGATTTCTCCAGTCTCCCATGCCCTCCTGTAATGCTCAACAGATCTCAGCCCTGAACTGCTGGCGTAAATCTCCCACTTCTTCCCGAGTCTGCTGCCCTTTCTGACTCTTTCTCTTGCAGTCGACTTTTTAACTTTGATCAAAAAGCATCACCTCCATCACTGGTGGGCAGCGTTTCTGCTGCTGTCAGCACCCAACACTCCAGAGCTGTCACAGTGCAAAAAGCTGTGCTTCAACATGCTTGGGGAGGTTCTCCCCACAGTGTATCTCATGTTTATCTTAGGACGAGCGGATTGAGTTATTGAGGGCTCTGGAGCCTGTCTTAACAGTTTATAGAAGAACAAATATTCTATGATTCATCCACTACGAAGGATAAGACTATTCTTTCTCACTAATATGATGATGTCAACAATACTCTGTTCTCCATATTGCCTGACTCATAGTGGGAAGGTAGAGTAAAAATGGTCACTTTGAAAATTACCTGCAAAGTCCTCACTTGCGAATGCATAGGATAGCTGTTAGCCCATTTTTGCAGCCACAAGGTGTTTGCAGATGAAAGACTCATCATCGAGCCTGCAGTTAACTAAATCACAGCACTAGGAAATACTGTCCTGCAGTTAAAAAGAATCTCCATATTAAAATACATTCCTACACAAGACTGTCTCAGGTCGCCCATTTAATAGTTGCGATTTCTGGAGAGGTTAGCTAAGGGCTGGGAGCCAGAAGGGAAAGGTCTGTTTTTAGTTTACTTAATTATCCTCGTTATAGCTTGACACCTAACCACGGAGGGATATATCCCCTGCCCAGTAATCTGTCCACATGACATCATCGTCTGAGTTGGTGGAATGGTTCCAGTGACGTCAATTGTTCTCTTGGGGAGCATGTACTTGATAACCTAAAATAGAAATAACTCCAATTGCCTTTACCTTTTATTTCTTTTCTTTTCTTTCTTTCTTTCTTTCTTTCTTTCTTTCTTTCTTTTTTTTTTTTTTACTTTTTTGGGGGATAGTGGTGGTGGAGGGAGGGGAACATTAAAGGTTCAAGTAAGCAAACTGAGTATCACACACATGCTTCTCTGGAAATCAAGTTTCAATGTATAACATATCACATCATTAACAGCTGGGGCAGAGAAGGAAGACTCCAGCTATGAGTGGAGGGAATGATGATGTTATAGTATGGTGAATAATGCCACTACTTAAGGAGTTGCACTGCTGAATTATTTCTCCTTGATTTAATATTTTGATTTTAAGGTCCAAGAGGTTTGATTTTGTCTTTGTTTTCTTTGCTTCTAGAGACAGAATCTCTCCTTATGCAACCCAAGAAGTTATTCCTTGAACTACTGATTCTTCTGCCTCTACTTCCCGACCACCAAAACAGTCTCCCCATCCCCTAGGATTGAATTATTCTTATTAATAAAATAGGAGGATGTATTTACTTTTTAAAAAACTTAAAAAAAATAAAGGAGATAGAAGCAAGGAAAAATCCAGTATAGGTTTGTATATATAACAAGTACTTTTGAATTAAAGAAATATGACATAAAATGCCTAAAACTGGCCTGAATGGAACAGAGTTCAGAATGAACCCAAGAGCCTGTAGGCAGGATGATGTCATCTTATGTGGTATGGTGGGGACAGCTCCCACTGGTCAAGGATGGAGCGGGATATAAAACCATCACACCGAAGCGCTATTAAACCAATCGACTGAAGGTACAGATCTGCTCACAAATACACCACAAATCAACAAAAGGGATGAAAAAATGAACCAAGTTTATTTTCTGCAATAATTTCTGAAAATTACAAAGATAAAAACGCTAAACTACAGCATATATCTTTTCAATACTTAACCAGAATACCTGGAATAAATATGCATCCTGAAACAAGGAAAAGGCTACGCGCTGTCAGGCATCCTGCAAAAGGTCTCAAGTTTTACATTCTGCAGCATCCCTGTGGGGGGTGGGCACAAGGAGGGGTGGCTTTGTAATTTCTTAAGTTCTGAGACAAATCCGTTCACATTTCTTTGGAGCATTTTTGAGAAATGCTGAAGTGTAATTAGACAACTTAAGAAGAGGACCACCACCAACCTGAAGCCACTTTTGTTTGGCTGGCTTTGGTCTTTACCTAAAACAGATGAACACAGGCAGTTCAGCCATGCGCCTCAGAGCCTGGGCAGCCCCGCAGTCCACTGAACCTGTCAGAGTGGGCCTCCACCCTCAGTAACTAACGTACTAAAAGTTCCGCATCCCACTTATCTCCCTCATGATCGGGGCCATAAGAGAAGCCGCAAGCAAGTCAAACGTTAGTTTCACCTGAAAGTCAACAGACCTATTTTCCCCTAAGACTTTTGCTATGCACCTTGTTCCCATGCCGGGCATTTACTTTTAACATGGAGACACTGGCTGGAACTAACAGTCCTTCCAGGAATCATTTATGGGCGCTAGAGTTTGGGGTGTTTACAGATAGTCAACTGGCAAAAGAAGGACTTCATAAGTAGACTAGAAAATTCTAGGGGTACTGTTGGCAGCTCATATTGAGTTGGGAATATATAACTGACCCTCTGCTATAGCTGAAAAATTTTGAGGAAAAAGTTACATTTTTAAGAAATCTTAAGCATGGTTACCTAAAAATATTGTTAATCTAATCTAATCCCACTTACTTTGGGGTTTAGCTATGAAAACATCTTTAAACGCCAATAAAAATATCATAGAGAAAAAAAAAACCTTTTAAAAAAGTTGAGGTTAAGAACCATGAGGCATTTCTTTTGGCTGTAAACACATGGTTTACTGTCCTTTGCTGAAACACAAATATTTGGATTTCCTGAGCTTCATGGATAACAGCAGGAGTCAAGTTTGCATAGGAAATTTGCAATATGTTGATTTACTTAGAAACCTTTAAAAGGACCGTTCACCCTTGGATTGAAACTTGTATTTTAGTTAGCGGTACTCACCAAACTGTGAGACCTACAAAGAGGGCAAAGACATGTAAGGCAGCTGGGGGGAGAAAGATGAAATCTGCGTTTTTAAATCCACAGGATAAAGGATCTTTTTTATCACTTATTACTCACTTTTAATGTTATTCTAATTTGGTTAGAAATTAAATCGCGGTCGGGGAAGGGAGGGCAAAGATGCTCCCCCGTGGCACAGCCCAAAGGCAGAGAGCAAGGACTATGCACCGTATCTCAGGGACATCACTCAGATAGCCAGGTACCAAGGAAGGTAGGGTAGAGTTTGGGGCAGAGCTGATCCCAGCTGTAGAGTCTGAAGAGATGACAGGGACCTTCACCTCTGCTGGTCTGAAGTACCCAAGCAGTTCTGAGGATAGCATCTTCTCCTGGGGCTAGTCCCCAGAAACCTCTGGAAAAGAAGCTGCATTAGGTCCCAGTGCACACCATGGATGAGAACAATGGCAGTGGTCGGCGACAACTCTAGACCTAACACAAAAACAGGTGACAAAAGGGGCGGAGTCCTGCCAACGCGTCCGTTTTACTTCTTCTGGGACTGGGTTTTACACATGGTGAGTATTTGCTTCAGGACTCTCTGGACATCTTCATCCATTTGGCCCTAGAAAATTCATACAGAAGATACACATTAGAACTTCATTACATCTTGGCACCTTCTCCCCTGGGGAGCGAGATGGCTGAGATTCAGCCTTTTCCGTGCTCCCCATAGTGTTCAGAAGAATATCAGTGCTATCAGTTCTCGCATTTCCATGAGGAGTTGAATCAAAGAGAGTTCCCTGCTTCTCCTTTGGGAGATGACTAAATCTACCAAAATCCTCAGTAAAGGGTAACTGCGGTCTTAGGAGTGTGAGCCCAGCTAGCCAGAAGCAATCATAGGGCAAGGCAGGGCTGAGGGGTATCTAAATATATTGGTATCCTTATTAAATAAAGCCTGGGTCTTCCTGATAGGGAAAGACAGATACATCTTTCAGAGTGATAATTCCCCCTCAGTAAATAATAAACCCACCACCAGTAGGCAAGGCATAGGCTTGACACAAAATCTTACGCGAAAGGCATTGGAGGTTTCTCAAAAAGGAGACTCCTCTAATTCTAGTTCATTCTGCTAGTCTGACGGTGGCACTCTGTGCAACATCTGCTGCCCCATTTACTACTGTTACTATTGAGACAGGGCTGCATGTAACTCAGGCTGATCTCAAACTCACGACGTAGCAAAGGATGGCAATGAACTCCTGGTCCTCCTGCCTTTACCTCTCAATTTCAGGGATGACAGGTGTGTGACATTGCTTGGCTAGGCTGACACATTTCTTTAGGATGCCACTGGTGTTACCATACCTGAACAGCATACAGAAGATGCATTCTATAAACCGATATGACCTCCTGGTGTTGTTTCTTACATTCCTGAAAGAGACAACCTGACATTACTAATGGGCTTGGTGGGGGGGGGTCTTTGAAGATGCAAATATGAAGTATGAAAAGCTGTCACTCAGGTGTACCACTCTGGTGGTACACATCTGCATTCGTATGTTAGCTCAGAAAGCTTCTAGGGTTGTTAAATTCACTGGTTTGTGTTTCTAAATGCTTGTCACTATTCTAGAGATCTCATCTTAGTACGCCTCCCAGTTTAACACACACACACACACACACACACACACACACACACACACACACACACGAGGAGAGAGAGAGAGAGAGAGAGAGAGAGAGAGAGAGAGAGAGAGAGAGAGAGTGTCACTGTAAGGGAATGCTGTAAGAAAATAGATGAAAGGCAAAATGAAAGTATTTCAGCATTATTGAGTTAGGGGTAAACTTCATTTTAAGAGATTCTAAGTTGTTTATTTGTGTTTAATTTGCAAATTTATAATTACTAAGTCGTCGTTCACTTAGTTGAAGATAAAATCTATTCATTTTTAAAGGATGCACTGTACACAGATAACGCTGTGTAGTCCCGTGGGGTTCAGCTATTTAGTTATCTGTACCGAGGACACAATCAAGGAACAGTCTCAGTCCCAAGGGTCTTCACGACTGCAGCTGCTGCGTCCATCGCTCCTTGCGAAGTTAGAACTACAGTTTCCCCCAGAGACTGTTACTACGGTCCTCGTCCACCTCCCACCTAATCGAAGAGAACGAGGCCCATCTCTTTATTAAGCAAATGAAAACCATAATATATGAATTACCTAAACAAACCTACACATTCTTATCAATACCCTTTCTCCTCTCCTCACCAGTGTCAGCATCCGAGCGAGCTTTCCTGGTGCCACGTCTGAAGCCCTGATGTTCACACTACAAGGCTGGTTTGAGACAGTCTTCCCATGTAGCTCAGCCTAGCCTGGACTCACTACGCATCCCAGGCTGGCTTCACTTTCACGGTGATCTCCTGCCTGAGCCTCCTGAGTGCTAGGATGCTAGGATTACAAGTATGTGCCACCACATCTGCTCTGCGTAATTCTTCACCAGTGGCTTCCTTTCCATTCCTCCTCTGCCATCCCTTAGTTTTCTTTAATATCTGAGGGAAGGATCCATATAACAGCCCAGCCTCTCAAATCTTCATCAGCTTCCTAACGTGCCCTGCCATGTTGCTGCTCACTTCCATGGTCCTAGTCCTGTCTATCACTCCCATCTCTGACTCTGAACAGAAAGCACCTCCGTTCACCACACTCCTCTCTCTAGCAAGCAAGTTGGGTTCTGCCTGACCCCCGAAGTGATATTTCAGCCCTACTGGACACCTATCTGCTTACTCACTTCACTAGAAGTCTGCTGCAATCCAGAGCCCATCCCATCACTCCTTTGGAAAAGTTGTTGCCAAGGTTAAAAGGGCCAAACCATCTAAGTGACACATCCTTAAGTGGTAAAAAAAAGGATCTTGCAGAAATCATTAAGGATTCAGAGGTGGAGAGGGATTATTATGGATAATCTGAGTAGCCTGCAAATGTAATGACAGGTCTCCTAAGAGAGGAGCAAGGAAGCCAGAGGTGGAAAGAGGTAACAGAATAAAAGCAGAAGGTCAGGTGATGGACTCTGAAGCTGGGCAAGGTAAAATGATCCCTAGAAGGCAGGGGGCATCTAGAAGCTGGCAGATAAGGAGATGGATGCTCCCTTCAGTCCCATGAAGGAGCAGCCTTGCTGTGCTCTGATGGTGGTCCAGTGGAACTGATTCTCAGCATTCTCATCTCTACAACTACTTTGTCTATAAACAAGGCTGGAATTTGTGGAAATAGCCAAAGGAAACAAAAATGTAAGTGGGCCTTCTGGGTAGTAAAATAAGCAGAAAAATCAAGAAGCAACTTCAAATATGTAGATGCACAACCACCTAAGATCCTGACCCCCTAATGACAAGATGCACTCAGCACTGCCAGAGCTGAGGCATGACCATCACAGAAAGATTGGAGTGACAAAGCAGTGGATGAGGGACTGTGAGTATCTGTCGCTCTCCTGACTTTCCCTTCTCAGTGATAGATGCATCTCCCCATCCCACTGC